TAGTTATTAGAATGCTGGATATTGTTACAAGTTTGTGAAAGCGCCTATCGCTTTGGTTTTATGTAAGAGGATGGTCGATAAAACAAGCTTAATGCCCCTAAATGGTTCCAAATCTTTCTCCAGCCTTTACACTTTTCAGCTGGTGGGAAGCGAGGAAATATTTTGCTGAGAGACAAACTTCTGCAGCTTCAGGAGAGGTACCTGAAGGGAGTCCCTGCTGAAGGTCTCTGGGGATATGATGCAGTTAGCAATTGCAGTGTCTGCTTTAGGCATTTGGCCACTTCCAATATTGCTTTTATTTTTTTTAAATAGATATTAGAATGATAATATGAGCTACTTTAATTAATAGGAAACAAATCCAACTGCTCTGGAATGTTGGCTGAGCTGCTTCTTTGCATTAAATTTGTTCAGCTATTCTTTAAACTAAGGCACAGACATGGTAAGAGGGATGGATGTCACATGCCTGCTCTTTGCCCTACAATAGTGGTGCCAAGAAAAAGGGCAGTTTTGAAAGCTTCCTCCGTAAGAATTCTTTCTTGACACCTTCTCAGAAGTGTCTCTTCCTTGCAAGCAAACGCCTCATTCAACGTACCCTTATTCTATTCACTACATAATATGCTCTCCTGTAAATGTACCCAGTGTCAGCTAATGCGTATTTGTCAAAATCCATTACCCTATTTTAGCAAACGTTCCACACTTGTATAACCCTTATTCTTTAATGGTTCTACTTTTAAGTCAAGAGACCTTCAGATAAGAGGATGGCAAAGCCATTAAATGCTTTCCTCATAGTGAAAATGAAACTTAGTGAAGTCTATTCGCAAGAGGCCGTCTTCAAAAGGGCGAATGCTTATTATTTAGTGTCATCATTTACCTATCTCTGTGGTTAATTAAAACTCTGATCCAGTAGGAAATGAAGACTGCAATCCTACACACACTTACCTAGAAGAAAGTTCCGTAATACTTGTGGGGAAAGTGTCATGAATGGCTGTAAGCCACATGAGGAAATGGGGTCACAGACTATTTTAATTACATAAAATGTGATGCTCAACTCTTTGGACGTCTTTAGTTTTACTGACTAAAGGAGCATATTTTAAGCAACATGTGTCTGAAGCTAGTGTACCTGGCATTGGGCTGTAGATGTAGCACTTTGTAGACGATATATTTTAAACAAAAACAATACCATCAATGCTTACTTGATATTTACACAAAACTTCAGCCACAGTGGACACAATCCAGCAAATGTTAGGCATTTCTGAGAGCCAAACTAAATGTGCAGGCAGTTTCACATACAAATGGGAATGAGATGCTTATGAGGGTGGGAACTAAAACCCAACCTCCTCTCCTGCCTTGTGTTGCTGCACTTTATTTAAGTAGTTTCCCCTTAGCTGCCTCTAGTATCAGACATGAGCTGGGCACTGAGAAATTTGCTTCAAATGTACACAGCACAGTGTAAAGATAAGGGAGGGATTGATTTTTCCCCTCCTCCTCCATATGCTTTTTTAAAAAAAGACGTGTGTAGACCCTCCCCTCCTTCATTTCACATGCTTAATAGACACACAACTGCCACACATGTCTACTTTGGTTCTAAAAGTCCCACTGAAATAAATGGAAATCAAGTGTACCACTAACACTTAAATGGGAGCTAGCTGTGTTTCGCTTTCACAGCATTCCCCTCCCCACTTCTGTATCAAAACATTATGGTTGAAGCATTACATATAAAAACATTACAGCTGAAATATGAGACAAGTTATTACATGTGTACTTATCAACAGTACTGATTCCATATCAATAATCAGTAACGTAGTACTGTAACAACCTGTCTCATATTTCAACTGTAACTTTTTCAGGACAGGGGACCATATTTCAATTTCCTTTTTTTTCATTGTGCTACTGTAGGAGGATCCTAGACTCTAGAGAATAAAACATATCATTATTAAATATAGTTTGGTTCTATCCTTCCTCTGAGGAGCTCAAGGTCACCAGCCTGAGTGCCATGGCTAAGATACAAGGTGAAACCCTTTCCTGCAGTCCAACACTAATCACTATTCCACACTGGATCTCTCGCCGATTCAGTTCTGAAGTCTTTAAACTATTAAAGTACATACTTCTCCCATATTCTTTAATTATGGTGGCCGGAGCTCAGTTTTTTAATCCACACAAATAGATGGTAATTATTTTACTGATTTGTTAATTACTTTGTATAGTTTATGCTGCATTTGTGATGTTCTATTATGTTCTGGTTATTTATTATTTGTAAGCCGCTTTGGGATTCATTTGAATGAAAAGTGGCACAGAAATACAATAAACGAAGTCAACACAAATCAAACATATATAGGTGGGCAGCGTTGTCAAGTTGCTAAAAGGAAATTTACACAGAGGTACAACTACACTTGTCAACACTTACATGCAATGATATTCCCATATCTATTCTTCATTCGGTTCTCATCTTTTTTAGCTGAGTCCCAAGGTGCAGACTGTCCTTCAAAGAAACTCTGTTAAGAAGAAACAGGGGAAGCAAAAACAACACTAAGCGGAAGAATATGTAGCAGAACAAACACTGAAGATAACACAGAAAGACACAAGGAGAAAATACCACAGCAACGTGCAAAACACGTAAAGACTGAACTGTAGTTATTGTTTGTTCCTTTGCTTGTTACTTATAAGTAATTCCACGAGCAGTTATGAAAACATTGTTCTTTTTAAAATAAATGAAGCATCAATAGATTTAGAAGATAAGGCTGACAGCATAGTACAGTCGAGTATTAGTAGAGATAGGATGAGCCGGACATTCAGAATAATGACAGCAAAAAAGAAGTGTAAGGTTTTTAAGAATCATCCTGAAACTTTTAGAGGTCATTTCCATTACAACGAAAGTCAAAAGATTATCCTGCTCTGATTATCATGGATAGCTGAGGCTCAATATGGTGTTTAAACTTTCAGAATACACAGTCAACTGAAGGTATGAAATACTCTTTCAATACCCCGGACACACGTGTGCCTTCTTCAGATTTAAAGGTCTGTATACACACATTTAAAGTGCATGGCTTCCCCCCAAGAATCCTTGAAATGTAGTTTGTTATGGGTGTTAGGAATTGTAGCTTTGTGTGGGGGGGTAGGTTTTTAATATTTGATGAATTACTGTATTTTAATCTTTTGTTGGAAGCCGCCCAGAGTGGCTGGGGAAACCCAGCCAGATGGGAATGAATGAATGAATCAATAATAATTAAACTATAGTTGCTAGGATGGGGTGGGGAGTCATGTGCTTTAAATGTGTTTTTATGTATGGTGTGTATGCAGTCCATGAGAAAGGGGCATCATTCATTTATTCCATATTGTTCACTGGATCATTAAGGTTGGGACAACTTGTCATGACTGGATTTCTCTTTAAAAGGACAGAACTCCATTATGCAGCCTAAATAAGGGGGACCCAATAAGACACGATTCAGTTATAAAGGCTTTCCACTGAAGAAGAAGAAGAAGAAAAGACTTCTATAGCTAATGGCACTTGGCTAAATGGCTTTTCCTTAGGCAATACCTCTTTGCATGCAATTCATGTCCACATTTGTTTTGTTAAAATCATTATTTACAATACCTCATAAGATTATTGAATTTCCAGGAAGGGGATAATGTTTTCATCATGCAGATAACCTGGTTCAATATTTGCTTAACCATAGCACTATATTATCTAATCAGGTTTATTTAAGAATTAATTCATTTGGGTTAGGAGTGCACATTCATTGGTCAACTAGGGATGAAAGTAGGCAGATAGATTTCCATCCCAGGCTGTATTTGTCCCAAGCAGAGCTGTTTCTCTTCCGCTACAGCTTGGCTTTCACTACAACCCACATTGCTTGTCTCCTATCTGCTATATGACCAGAACTAATGTAAACAATTATGTAATTAATTTCAGTGCATCTCAATGGAAAGGGGACAACTAAAACAATGCAGAAAACACTGTAAATATTTACATAATGTTTGTGGGCTAAAACAACAACAACAACAACAACAACAACAACAACAACAAAGGCAGCAGATACTGCTTGTCTTTGCCTGCATGATTTCCATTCCTGACCTCCAACGAAAATGAGAATGGCAGCAATTCCCACTCTCGTTTCCCTTTCTGATGGAATTATTTGACATCCCTGGTTAGAGTTCCGTTGCCATAGGGATTTGTTTGCGGCAGAAATGGTTTGTGCCTGCTTCGCCCCATTACCTGCCCTACCTGTGCTCAGCAGAACTTATGAAAGAGCCTGTATGTCTGGGCGTAGGCTCTGTACATAGAACTGGGGGCATACAGTGTTCCCATGTGTACAATTTGTAGGTATGAAGGCTGTTTCAGAATGGATGCCAAAAGCACCGAGGACAGCGGTCACGAACCTGCACCTTCCTATGTATGCTCACTCTCCTCAGAAATAATAATCCTTCATTGTGAATAATATTTTCTCTAGTAAATACAACAGCAGTTGTCTGATTCTGAATGCATAAGTGGTATCTTTAGGCCTGTGAGTGCTGTAGGAAAGAGCTTCCATTTCCCTGCCTCTCTCTCTCTCCCTGACCTGCCATCCACCAGTATAAATGTTCAGTCTCCCCTAATAAAACTTCTGAACAGGACTTAAATGCCTTATAAGATAAAGTTAAACATTTGAATAGAAAGAACATCCTTCTCTATTTAACTATAAGTACTTTAAGAATAATTTTCACAAAAACCTTTTAAATTCTAATGCTGGATCTTCCAAAAGGAAGATTTCTATATGAGGCTTATTTTGTATTAATCTGAAGAATGTATAAGAACAACAACTCAAATTCAACTGTAGCAACACACTCCTTGGCACCATAGTTAACTGTAACAAAGTAAATTGTCTTTCAGATTTATCTCTAAAACAATGAACAGAGTGAGCAGATAAGTTTTTATAATTCTCCTCTTATACAAAGAATTCCCTAGGTTCAATATACACATTTATGATATAATTAATTTACAAGGTGTGTGTGTATTGTGTGTGTGTGTGTGTGTGTGTGTATATATATATACATATATATATATATATATATATATATATATATACACACATATATATATATATATATATATATATATATATATATATATATATATATATTGTTTATCTAAAATTTACATTTGTTCTCAAGCTGTAGTCCCCCCCACTTCCTGCAGTAAAAACGGTTTCAGGAGGGTTGAACAAATGCTTTCACTGAAATGTATGTGGCATTTTCACAAATAAACCCCAATTTCATTCTTTATAGTATGTAATTAAAGTGTTGTTTCTGACTATATCTCATATATTCTGCAGGAAGTCAGTGAACCATGGAAACACTTATAATAGTAGAACGTCTATAATACAATAAAATGAAACCACTCCATGAATATCAACTACTTTGCATTTTCATAACTATTTCTGAATACAGTGTATAAGGAAATTGAACATTTCACAGACAAGCATATATTTTTCCTAAGCAAAACACATGCCTTGTGATTCTAAAACCTTCTCCAGATCAACCTTCCCTCATCAATTTCTGAAAGATATAATTACACGTCCCAGTTGCGCAACTCAGGAGACTGCAAGTACAAAATGGCAACAAGATATTTAAAATGAGAACTCCCTATTCCCATAAATAGATATATTACTACCCAGAAGGGTACTGATGTCAGAGTTATACATCATGTGCTGTAGGTCTGCCATGCAGTATGGATACAAGTTTTAGAGTTTTGCTTGTCTTTTACAATTCTACTCTATAATACACAATGAAAGTGAGTCCACAATAATAAAATGGAATACCAGAACTTGTCGCATCACAATTCATGGCTGGCTTATGCATTTGGCAGAATCAAGGGGTAAAGCTATTCTAAGACTGTACCATGTGAAACTGCAGGTGGGGGATTCCAGGATAAATACTACTCCATAAATTTAGTCACTAAATAGAAAACTAGTATACTTGAGTGCTGATTTCAGTTTTATCCATGAGAAAGTATTCAAACATGTTTTCCTGAAGCTTAAAATGGTATAACCCGAGAACTGGACTCTGCTAAATGTAAAAAAATGGGCCCTTAGAAATGTCTCGGCTTCTGACTCTCTTTCTCTCTTTTTCAGACAGTTTCACTACTAACATATTAAATTAAGAAACTATAGATAAAGCCTTAAACTACCATTATAGAATCTGAAGCCGTACAGATCCTAAGTTATCTCTGTTAAAACTGTCAGGTACTCTAAGCATAGTTTCCCAAGCAAACCATCATTTTAAGGATGCTCTGGCAAGTTCCAGCTGAAAAAAAGCCCTGAAAACATGCCCATTGTGCACAACAGGTACACAAGTATCAAACAAAAAAGGTATCTGTGCAGTCAAGGTTTTAGACCAGGCATAGGCAAACTCGGCCCTCCAGATGTTTTGGGACTACAACTCCCATCATCCCTGACCACTGGTCCTGTTAGCTAGGGATGATGGGAGGTGCAGTCCCAAAACATCTGGAGGGCAGTGTTTGCCTATGCCTGTTTTAGACAAAGCCACTGCCATCTTCATGAAAGCAAAGTTATACAAAATAATGAAGAAGCCAATTCTTTATGCCACCCAGTTATGCACTGTAGTTTGAACACCCCTGAAAGCATCAAACTACAAGTTTTTTTATTTATTCCAAGACATATAACAGCATGTTGACAGTTAAAAAGTATGATTGATATTGTTAATAGTTTTTAAAAAATATATATATCAGAAAAAAACCCTGGATTGTTTTGTTGCTTAGCTAAAAGTATTATTGTTCTTTTTGTGAGCATACCCTCCTTTTTGGCAATTTTTCAGAGACGTGAAAGTGTTTGCTATTCAGGAAACATTGTCCTGACTCTGAAGTGGCTTTGCTTGTTCTCAGTGGTACCATTGCCAAAACTTGTTGGCTTTGCGGCATTGTTACATGCCATTTATCACATGATTCCCAAATGGATGGAATTTTCCAGGTTATTACTCCAGGAATTAGAGCAATTAGAAAGAAAAAAATGGCACTGAAACAGCAAAAGATAGGAGAAATTGTGGCCATAAAAAGAATGGAAGAATAGTGAACATTTTCACAACTAAGTCCAACCGCCGCCCCCCAAATATTTCTCCTCCCAAATATTTCGCTCTCCCAAAAGTGCTACTTTTCGCCTGGCTATCAAAATGCAGTTCTAAGCAGTTCTAATCGTATGAAAAGGATGCAATCCTGAACAATAAAATGGCTTTTATTTTACAAAGCCAATTCAATTTTTCTCAAAATTGCCTAGTTCAATCTTTCATAGCCATGGGAGGGGGGACTTGGTGCTCAAGAGTATTCTCTTTGACATGGTTCATGACAAGTCAGCCCTTTCCTGATAATCAAGTGGTGAGTGCCTTTGCTTATGCAGCTGAAAAGTTGCGAAAGAAGGAGGGATCAGCAGGCTTAGGAAAACTCAAAGGTGTTTAGAAGGAGAGAGACAGAGTGTCTGATCTTTATTTGACCTCCTGATCTGATACTCAACTGAATTTCTTTCTGGTACAACTTTACTGTAGATCTAACCTATTATATCATATTTGGCGGAAGCACTTCATTTGTACTAAGTCTGGCCTGAGCTGAAAGATTGTACATGATGAAGAATCCAACACCAGTTCCCTTGATAGTTTGTCGTAACAGTAAATCAACGCTATCACTACTTTATGCTTTATTTCTAATTTGAGATTTTCAAGGTTTAGCCATTTGTCCTCTTAATGTTTCACTCTGTTAAGATTTAGGAGTGCTCCTATACTTTCTCCCCAATAAGTTACTTACACTTCCTAAGATGTAACAACATTTTCTGTTTGATGTGCTAATTTGCGTAATCTACTTTTTCCAGGCCTTTTCTCACATCCCTGCAGTTTTTTAAAATCTTTTATAATGGGTCAAAACTGGAAAACATATCTATATTCATGTCTATATGAATGAGACTGCCACCTTATGGGGCTTATTTGAAACTGGCTGGGCATGGCAACTGGTCCACAAGCCAATTTATGTCCAGTGCCTTGCTAAGTAAATCTGTCCCTCCGTATTACTGGGCAAACCAAGGGTGTTAGAAATAAATTGTTATGATACTCTGAATTTTCCATAGAATGGTTAACTAAGTAATGGTTTCTGTTATCATAGCTGTTGCCATTGCTCATTGATACCATTTTGAAAGCAAAATACATCCAGGTAGAACAGAATCAGTTAATTAACATAGTAAGTCAACATTAGAAACAGCTAGAAGCAGGGGGTGAAAAAAAAAGGCAAAAAATAAGTTGTTTCCCACAGGCAAATATTCAGCAACCGTGGGAACAGGATGCTGGGTGGAATCTACACACATATAAACAACTGTGTGTAAATGCTTTTTTAAAAAATGTTTTGAAAAATACATTGAATTTGGCATAGCTCGCTGTCACCATCTAGTGTCACATTTGTATATTGCACTTTACAATACATTTAAAATGTTTTGTTTGCAGCTGTGTAGCGGAGTCCCTGGCCTAGATCAGGCCACTGGCCTGATCCAGCAGGCTCTTCTTATTTTCTTAGAAAAGATCAGTGGGTGAGGGTGTGTAGAAACTAGCCTATTATACAAACATCAATTTATATCCATGCCTCTGCCCACTGTCAGACAGTGGGGAACAGTAGGGAAAGCTCAGGTGAGTCAACGGCTTCAGATAGCGACAGGAAGGCATCCCTGGACAGGTAATGGTTGCCAGAGTGGGCCAGGGTGCCCAATAACATAAAGCAAAAAAAGGGGTATCAAGGACTCTCAGGAATCTCATGGATTCTGAGGATCCTTCTGGTATTCACCTACTGAAGTAAGTCAGGGAACATATTTTGAATGAGGACTATGTTCACCATGTTGCCCCCAGAGACAGAAAAGGGTAAATGGGATAACAGAAAATCAGATGGCTCAAGGAAAGCTAAAAAAAGTTCAGGTGCAACACACCTTTGCAAATTGGTTGTCTGCCTTTTCCATTTATGTGGGGGTAGGCTTATGCAGGCAATGAAAGAGGATCTGAGGGTCTGATTAGCCTACCTGCAGGCATACAATGGGGCCTCTCTCTGCCAGGCCCTGCTGGTCACATGCCAGGACTACCAGGTTCATTCAGATGCCTCAGGCAGCCTGGGCTTTGGGGTTTACTTCAGGGGTTATTGGTGCTCCAATCCATGGAGGGAGGAGGGAATCACTCTGATCTCACCTTCCTAGAATTATTCCCCATCCTGTAGACAATACTGAGCTAAGTGGACCAATCACCTGACAAGGTATAAGTCAGTTCTACCTGTCTATATGGTGAAGGATTTCTGTGAAGAACTGTCAAATGACAGTACTGTAACTAGTATATTTATAAATCCAAGGTAAGAATAAATAATTCTTTTAATTCTTTGTCTAAATATACATTTGGATATAATGAGGAATGAATCATATTTAGCTGACACACAAACACAGCTGCTGACTCTAGAGGGCCAGAGCCAGTTTGAAGCATTAAGAAGGAAAACATATTGACTTAATCCAACATTCTATCCATCCAAGTGTCACTTCCATAATACTGATTTGGCATTAGAATGTTGTCATCATTACTTTATGATTAGATCAAGAGCAGAGTGGAGAACACAAATGACAGCTTTAACAAAAAAACAAAAAAAAGTCTAACTAGAAAACAAAATCAGTACTCATATAAACAATATGGTTAATTTCAAATGATTTTAAAGCACATTTATATATGTTTTCTTTTCTATCAAAGGCCTATTCTGATATTTTTCGTATTTTGTTTTCCACCAATGAATGATCCAGAATTGTGAAATCATTTTGACTAGTCCTTTTGGTACCTTCCCTGCCTATTACAAACTTTGTATGAATGTGGCTACTCAGGGACTACTACTCTCCCCCCCCCCCCCCAGTTCTGCTAATGACATCAGTGAAATCTGCAAAGGTGGAGGGGGTTTACGTGTGTGAAAGAACCTTAGAATATTTATACTTATTAATTTTTTGAATGCGTTAATAACGAATTTGTTAATTTGGATTTCAGCACATTTAACTTTGTTCCTAATTAACAAAGAAAAAAAAAAGGATTAAATGCT